AAAGGAAAGGAAAGGAAAGGAAACAACGGAATTAACGAAGGAAGCAGAATCGATGAAAAAAGGGGGAAAAAGAAGATATAAAAGGCAGGAAGGAGAGTATTAAGCCAAAAGAGAAATAGAGAAATATAAAATAACGAACTAAGCAAGTGTAGGAATGGCTTAAAGGAAGAGAAAAACGTATAAAAGGAAACTGAAGAGCAGGAGTTCAAATAACTTATTTTTAAAATGTTGATTTTAACATCAAAAGATCATAAATTTGCATACCTATTAACAGCATGATACAAGGAAGAAAAACGGCCTTCATCTTGATATCAGTAATGTGAACTAACTTCGTTTCTTCAGTGTGAGTTGCTTCTAAATGATGCCGTCTTCATTCATTCGGATATTTATTACACACTACCACGTGACCACTATCACGTGACACGATTGAGAACTACACTCAATCAAAAATATTTTGATGTGATTCAAGGATGGCGTAACGCCCCGAGGTTGTTTCAGGGTGCGGTTCGATAAAATTTAAAAGTTTTTGAAGGTTGAATAACAGGACCTACTTCTCTTGTCACTTGTACATGTTGCCTGTGAGACTCACTTTTAACAATTTGTTTACAGATAGAAAACTAGAGCGCGTAACAGCACTCAAACACTTAAATCAATGTGAGAACATGAATAACTTTATTTTTTCTCTAAACATTTTGACGTAGATTAGCCTTTTTACACATTCAAGTTTTACTAGTAAAAATGAATTACCAAAACAAATAGTGTGTGAATTACCATAACACTAATAAAAAGCAATAAGGAATGAAATTAATATTCAGAGCGGAAAACTGTTAACAAATTTTTCTTGCAATGAACTACATAAAGACTGAGAAAAGAGAGAAAGAATTTTTGTATTTAAAATGGCTTCGGATCGCGATATTTGGATAGAATACGATTGAAGAATTGGGAATTGGGTTTGTATATCCACTTATTTTAGATATTTGATATTGTATGCGGTTAACATGAATTTTCACGTTTGAGAAATACATGATATCAGATTCAGAAGTCAATGAAGTTAAACATCGTGAATTCTTCGTTAGCAAGTGACGTCATAGTCGCAATCTTCGATGAATTTAACAAAAGGATTGTCAATGAGCTTTTTAGTTATATCTTCGAACAAGGAAGTCGTGTCTTTTGTTATTTTACTTCCTTGGGAATGTTGAAAAACAGCAATACTGTCTCGAATCTTACTGTCATTCACTCAGTATTTGCGTGACCAGTTTTTGCGTTTGTGTTATATGAGTTTGGTATGTGTACTTACGTTACATGCACAGGTAGCCCAAGCCAGGTTTCTGTGGTGTTATATTACAAGAAAATGAATGGTAGTTCTTAAAAGCCTTCATGAAATCGTCAAAATGTGAAATAAAGTAATTTAGAAATTTTAGCCGACCTTTGAAAAGCACTACCTCTTTCTCCCTGTGCAGTTTGTTATTAGATTAAGCTAGCCTGGGCTACCTGTGGTTACATTCACTTTCTTTGGTAATAATGCATCTTTAAAAAGTTATTCACCACCGTAATAAAACTTCTCGCATCGACCAATTTCACTAGGGATGCTAAGAAGGGATACTATGACAACACTTGAGAACGTGCTGGAAACCGCTGACTCCGCTACACGTCGTGGTTTCCTACGTTGCACTCAGACTCGTACCCAGTCGTCACTCACGCTATTTTCCTTCCCTTGGTACACCGCGAACTCACTAAATCCTTTCCATCAAACATTGAAGCGACTGGGTACGAGTCTGCGTTTCTCGTATTCTCTCAGGATCCCACTGTGTTTACTCAGAAGATCTTACCAGTAGATATGACGTTTAAGACGATTCTGATAAGCAGTTCTGGACAATTGAGAAATCCGATGAACATGAAAAAATTCTAGGCGAGAGACGTACGCACTTTTGAAATTAGCAGTTTATAAAAAGAAAATCTAGAGGGCGTAACAGTACTCAAATGAGCACTCAAATCAATGTGACGGCAAAAGAACTATCCTTTTTGTTTAAATGACTTTATTTCTTATTCAAACTATTCTTTGGCGTAAGTTAGCCTACTTGTTCGTTACACGGCTTGTTAGTTTGAAGATGTCAAAAATAATTTAAACCATGAAATCAATGTATCATTTTCATATTATCTTTATAAGTCTATTTTTCATTCACCCACGAATTTGTTAAATGTTAAGATTATATTTAGTCTAGTTTTTTAAACTTATCGTCAAGGTCTTCCTCGGTAACTCATAGTTTAGGTCCGTAGTTGACCTTGAGGAGTCTAGGGAACCTGGAAAAAGTAAATCAAAAAATCAGAATAAAGCCAAAATTAATTAACAATGAAACTGCTCTCAAATGTGTATTCATAATGCAAAGAGGACATGAACTAAGAGAAGGAATCCCCCCTATATAGCCTTGTAACCATCATGTGCACAGTTTGATGCTATTTTAAAACCATTTGTTTTTCTGCACGCGCATTTACTGCGCGCGCTCTACGCTGTTTGCTTACGTTTTTGGGGGTTTTCCGTTATTTCGACTCTGCCCTGAATATGAATGTGCACGTCGAAAGCTTGGCAAATGCGACAGGAAATTTAAGTAGTAATATGTTCAACTTTCTGGAGTATTTTTACATTTATTTTCCAAAGCTTTCGACCTACATCGTCATCTTGCGGGCAGATTTGAACATTTGAACATAAGAAAAGCACTAGAAAAGGTTAGCAAACAGCGTAGAGCGCGCGCGTACTATGCGCGTGCAGAAAATCAAACGATCAAATAAATGATATCATTGGATGATATTTTTAGAATAGATTCTAAATAGAATAGATGATGGGGCACGGGGATTCCTTCTCTTAGTTCATATTCTCTTGTAATGCTTTATTATCGTTATAGTCTAGCCCCTTTTCTCATTCCGAAAATACCGCTGTGTTTTAAGACTAAAGACTCATCTCCGCAGGCTTAGTCTGGCTTAGAGTAAATCATTTGCAAATGTCAACTTTAATGTAAAGAATGTGCAGCTTGAACATTACCAATGTTTTGAAATCCCACGGACTTTTAATGGTATCTGTGAATACCTGACTTATAAACGAGGGTAAGGCTGTGCAAATGAGTCAGTAGTCTTCAAAAACAGCGGTATGCATTGAATGTGAAACTGGTATATTGGTTACCCAGACTACTTTCCGACAAACTCTTTATACGATAGAAAATTTTGTATTATTCAAAATGTGTCCAATCCATACTTGGGTAAGAAATACGTTTGGTCAAAATTTGCCCAATCATCGGTTGGCTTATGCAAATATGGTCATATAAAAATCCAGTTCCAGTCCATTTTTCATGTAAACACGGCCTACTTACCTTTATTCGCTACCCTATCCGCATGCAGCCTCGCAACTTTCCAGAGTAGGGAAATTATTGGCGTTTCCACCACATCCTCCATAGTTAAAGGTCTTACATCTTTCTCTTGCCTTGTCGAAATAGTATCTTCTTATCAAAGCATGGCATAACCCTGAATCTTTTCCTAGATTGCATATATTCTTTTTTGATTGTTCCCCATTAACTGTGCACAAGAGAAGGCCTATAAAAAGCGCGGGAAAATAAGTGAGGCTTGCCGTCAGTAAAGATACTGAGCGAACTAAAGATTATCAACTCTGGACAGGAAAGAAACTCTTATTGATAAATCCCGGGGGAAAGTGAATTACATCCCACTGCCACTAAGAGACTCTCGTTTACAACGCGGGGGAAATAAGTTATTTTTGTTTTACAAAATGATAGAAAGAGTAAGTATTACTCACACGTTATTACCACTGTAGCAAAGAGCAGTTCTTTCAGAAAAGCCATAATGTATACTGATGCAGGAAGTTTAAACACTGTTAAATACAAGAGTGAACATCAAGCTTTATGTAACCCAACGATAAGTTTTTGCGCGCTGTCAGTGGTTCAGCTGATGGGTCGTGTGCAGGACGAATATCAGCTGATATTTCCCTTCTGATGTGATATCTATTCTGTTAAAAAAAATAAGTTAAAAAACTTAGAAAACAAAGAGACTTGGCGGGTTTCCAACCAAGTAGGAGTGATATAAAGCGACAAAGAAATATGCTGTAAAGATCTTCTATCAGGAAAACATTCAAGTTGTTACGTGAATGAATGCTGTTTTTCAACTGCTTTTTTTATGAAAAAACATGGAAAACGAAGACACTCTGTTTTCCAAACGAGTGAGAGTGATAAAAACGACCAAGAAAAAATAACTAGTTCAGGATCTATCTTCCGAATTCGTAAAATTGCACCCATAGGTGAATCATATAGGATTGCGCACGTGCTTTTCAGTATTGATACGTGCCGCTCTCAAAATACTGATTCAATATAAAATGTCTAAAAATAACCCGATATCTTATTCTATAATAGTAACCTGTGTAATGATACTAAACCACGATATATTCGCCTCAGACTCAGTGATTAGTTATTCCGTTAGATGGCATAGTGTTTGTTATCTAAGGCTGTGGCAGTGAGGGGGGGAGGGGGGGGGGTGGGTAGGTGAAATTGAGGGGAGATCGGGAAATTGCGGGGAGATCTTTAATGATAAAAGAGACACCCCTGGCCAAAAGAACAAATTAAGAACGTATCGCCTCTTCAAAGTTAGTTATGTGTTAGAAGGTTAACTAATAAATGTAAAAAATTTCAATCACAGAAGAGCCTTAACTAAGCTAAGAATAAGTAACTAATGACCTAGAAATTGAAAGAGGCAGATACTCTAGTTACAAGAAGGTAGAGGAAAGGAAGTGCTTTCATTGTACTGATATAATAGAAGATGAAAG